CCTGCGCTTCCTCGCTTCCTCGTTTCCTCCCTCCCGGTCGTGGGAAACTTCAAACGCCATTCCGTACCATGTGCCCTTCCCAGGGGAGCATGGTGGCAGGTCCCATCGCCCCCATCTTGTATTGTTCTCATCCACCTCACACCCGCGGCCCTGTTATGGAACTTTTGGATTCTGAACCCTGCATTCCGGCTTCTGTTCTGGACTCACCTCTCACCGCTCAAGGGAACTTCTACGTAAAGCTCGCCGCCCTTCACTCTCAGGGCCCCGCTGGGAAACGGTCCCTTCCTTGCTCCTCCACACAGCAGCCCTGTTGATGTGAGGTTACAATATGGGCCTCCGAGTAAAGTTGTATTAGGGGAAATAAGATTACGCTTCTTTTAAGAAAAGTTTGTAATGCGCTGGCCTAACCTTTCTGAGAGTCTTTCCGACTCTGGCCCGCAGGATGCGGGGGCCGGCCCCCGCCCAGCTCTGCGACCATGCCCACCTCCACCCTCACCCCCAGCGGATCCACAAGTGATTTTCCACCCAGAGCTCAGACCTGACTGCCCTAGGACGCTGCTCAAAGGACTCTTCCAGAAGACAGCAGAGACACCCACCCCCGCGCCCCGCGCCCCTCACCCCGTGGCCGAGGAGACTCGGGCAGCCTTGTGGATGTTTTCTTCCCGCCCCTACAGGAGAGCCGGCTGGGGCGGCTCCTACCCTGCAGTAAGCGCACTGGCCACCTGGGGCAGCAGGAGGCCAAGGCTGGCTGCCCAGTGACTCCTAATGGCTTCCGCCAGCCCAGGTGCAGGTCTCGGGGCCCCAGACGCGCAGGCCCGACGTCCCTGCTCTTTCTCACACAGAGGCCAAAACAGTCCCAGAGCGAGAAGGCGCGCGCCCAAGGGCGGCCGGCGAGCGAAGGGCGGCTGCGGAAGGCCGCCCTCCGCGCCCCGCGCCGCGCGCCCCCAGCCGAGGGCGGGTGGGATCCGGAGCCTCGCGTCCACGGGCTGGGAGCACGTGGGCTCTAAGGCCAAAGGCAGACAGACGGCAGACACACGGAACCACCCTTACCGTGGCGGGCTGCAGGAAGCCAGCCCGGAGAGGCGCCGCGCGGCAGTGGCACCAGGGAGGGATTCCTGGAGGATGGGCTTGGGCTGAGCGTGGGTGGGACTTCAGTGGCCCTGAGGGGGTGGGGGCCACACTTCTGGATCACCGGAGCCACGGGTGAAGCGGGGGAGCCTGCGCGGGGCGCAGCTGGTGAGCAGCAGGAAGGAAAGCTGGAGCAGAAGCAAGCAAGGCTCGGGCTGCGGGCAGCCCGAGAGCAGGCGGAGGACCCACAGCTCTGCGGAGCAGGCTCAGACCTATGGCCGGAGCCCGGGGAGCCGTCGGATTTGCTGAGATCACGTGGTCTGTGGTGCCTATGGCGCCTGAGAGCTGAGGGAAGGGGCTGCGGGGAGCTGAGAAGGCCGAGGCTCGCGCATCTTGGGTTCTCCAGCACTTGGCAAGCCCTGGCCTGAGGAGGGGGCCTGCCTTCCACAACCGTCCAGTTGAACGTTTATATTGTAAGGGGAAGGATGTTCTCAGTTCCTTGTCAGGAATGGATAGAGAAAGTGGGGTTGTGCACTGGGGAGAATGACTTCAGAGAACCCCAAGCCCCACGGCAAGGAGAGGGCCACCAGAGCTGTGCTTTGCTCCCCACCCCACCCCTCCCCACCCCCCACACACACTGATTCCTGCCTCCACCCTCCCATGGACCCTTCCAGCCCTGCCCTGCTTGGGCTTCTCTTAGGCTCTTCCCTCTCTTGCTGGGTGCCCTGTGGCAGCCATGTTTTCATATGAGCCACAATTTCCCCTTGACCTGGTCAGGACCAGACCAGATGTTTTTTGAGGGCCCCCTCCAGTGTGACAGACTAGCATGGGAGGGTGGTCTGTGCTGCAGGGACAGAATGCAGTGACCCAAATTTAGGAAGAAAAACTGATTTAATCCTGGCTCTTCCAGGCCCATGGCTCCAGTTCAGAAAAGAAGTACTTTTGTAGGGGACAGGGGTCTCCAGTACTGTGACTCCTTTTTGTTCTCTTAACATGTTAAGCGCCATCTCAGTCACTGGTGACTGACACTATACTTTCCATTCGGACCGCATCAGTCACTGGTGACTGACGATATACAATTTTAAAAATTATATTTTTCTATTAGGAAAACTAATTTCACTTGAATCGCTTTCACATGTTTCTTCTACTGATATTGTCACTGTTACGGGTAAAGAAAAATTTTTTAAACTGCACTGGAACACGAACCACAGACAACTGACTAAAGAGAAAGCATATCAGTGAAATCAGATATCGCGGGCTAAACGCAAAGGAAGACAAAACAGGCTTGGCGCTTAACATGTGAAGGCCTCCACTGGACCCAGGAGGCTCTAAGTGATGGGGCCACAGGACCTGGTGAGGTTTTGCAGATGTCTGCCTTCTGGCGTCCCTGGGATCTGAACAGAAGGACCTGTCCTGGACAATAACAAACCTACGGAGAGGGAGAAAACCCTTAGGGACCATCAAGATGGGAATGGCCTTGAGCCCTAGGACCAACACAACACCCCCACCCTCAGCTGACCAGAAGACTAAAACCCAGAGAGGCCAAGGTCACAGAACATTGATGGCAGATCTGGGCTATCAGGTTCTGTCCTCAGTGACTCTTGACTCTCTCCTAGAGTCCCTGTCTAGGTCTTGCCACAGCAGAAACTGTGGGACCCTGCTGGGCATCAGAACTGCAGGACTTCCTGTCCCCACATGCCCTGACTTCCACATTCAGAAACCATCTAGAGGCTGTTCATGAAACAGGAGGGTTGGAGTGAGCTATGGCCTTCTGACTTCTCCTCTGGCATGGGTAAGTGACCATATCAGCCACTGATTTGCTGTGTGGCCAGGGAGAGTGCCATCCATTTCTGGGCCTCAGTTTCTCTGTAAGTAAATGAACTTGGACCCCCTGGCCTGGGGCACTTTTGGGTCTTAGTGTGTGGTCTGGAACTTCCCAGAGAAGCAGGGCCAGAGGGTTGGGGAAGAAGGGCCCTGCTCGCTCCTGTCCTAGGTCTCCGGGGTCTGCCTCCACACATGCTCAGCTCCCAGGAGCCTGGGGGCGGGGGAGGGACTTATACAATGGTCTCACAGACACTGCTTAAGTCCCATACTATGTCATTAGCTTCCTGACAGGAATGGTACCTTTGAATTACTCAAGACTCCCAGCCAACACTGGTCACTTGAGCTACAGAGAACACAGTAACAGGTATGTCTGAGGCAGGGAGGTAGCCTATGTCTGTGTGTGTCTATGGGACGGTCTGGGTATATGTGTTATGTCTGTGGGAGAGAGGTTTGGGGGCTTCCTGTGTGTGACTGTGTGCATGTTTTAATTTTCACTCATTGGAGTACTACCGCGACTGAACTTCCATTAGTAATTTTTATATCTTTTTAAAAACTACCTGCTAGTGTCATTTGCTGGGTTTTATTATATTGCTTATCTTTATCTTAATGGTAAGACCTTTTTTCATATTAAATATTTCACTTTTATATCACAAATTTTACAAAGGTATTTCCATGTTTTGAGCTTTACCTTTTAGCCTTACTTGGGATTACTTAAAACATAAATATTTAATTTTGAAAAGTCAATTTATCAATATTTTCCCTTATGGTTGGTTTCTACCTTTCATCTGATGCTTAGAAAGGTTTTCTCTATTCCGTGAAAATAAAAAAACTTACTCATATTTTTCCTTTTTAAAGGAAATCTTTATTGTTTTTCTTCTTTACAAAAGTGATGCATGCTGGTTGTCAAAAATGAAAGGGAAATAAATTTAGATAGAATGAGTATCTTTGTAAGTTTTCCTAACCAAGAACGAGGTTTCTTCTGTTTCTCCATTTATTTAAGTTTCTTTTTGTAGCCCTCAGTGGACATTTATAATTTCTTCATATATGTCCTGCATAATAATTATATTTATTACTAGAAAATCTACTTCTCTTGATGGTGTTGGGAATGGGATATTTTCTTTCATTATATTTTCTAACTGGTTGTTGGTATAAAACAAACTACTTGTTTTTGAATGTTACTTTTTAAGTGGTCATCATTCCTGATTTACATTTGAATAAAATGAAAATGATTTGTTTCCATGTGAAGATTCTGCCATATTCATTTCTCTCAGGGTTTTCCACCAGGGTGAATCTGATACCTGATTCAGTTTAGAATTAGCCTTGAGACTTTTCTACGTCTTTCTCATTAGGATTTTCCTTCACTATGGACACTCTGATGCTGACTGAGTTGGAAGTTAAACCTGAAGGCTTTTCCACACACATTACACATATAGGGTTTCTTCCAAGTATGGACAGTCTGATGTATAATACAGTCAGAACTATAGCTGAAGCCTTTGCCACACTCCACACATCTGAAGGGTTTCTCCCCGGTGTGGCTTCTCTGATGCCGAATTAAGTGGGCATTAACATGGAAGGCTTTTCCACACTCCTTACACTGAAAGGGTTTCTCTCCAGTATGGATTCTCTGATGTACAATATAGTCGGAACTACAGCTAAATGCTTTCTCACATTCCATACATTTGAAAGGTTTCTCCCCAGTGTGTATTCTCTGATGCCTAGTTAGTTTGGCATTGATACTGAAGGCTTTCCCACATTCTTTACATTGATAAGGTCTTTCTCCTGTATGGATTCGGTGATGATCAAGTAGGTTTCTTTTAGAAGTAAAGCATTTCCCACACTCATTACATTCAAAGGGCTTCTCCCCAGTGTGAATCCTCTGATGTTGCATTAGTTTTGCGTTGACGTTGAAGGCCTTTCCACACTCATTACACTCATAGGGCTTCTCCCCAGTGTGGATTCTCAGATGCTGCCGAAGCTGGGAATTACACCGGAAGGCTTTCCCACATTCGTTACACTCATAGGGCTTCTCACCTGTGTGGATTCTCTGGTGCTGGATTAACTTCCCTTTGACACTAAAGGCTTTTCCACATTCAGTACACTCATAGGGTTTCTCACCTGTGTGGATTCTCTGATGCTGAATGAGTTTTGCATTATTACTGAAGGCTTTTCCACACTCCTTACACTGATAGGGCTTCTCTCCAGTGTGGATGCTCTGATGCTGCCTAAGCTGGGAGCTGCACCTGAAGCCTTTCCCACACTCGTTACATTCATAAGGTTTCTCTCCAGTGTGGATTCTCTGGTGTTGAATTAATTTTGCATTGACATTGAAAGCCTTCCCACAGTCATTACACTCATAAGGTTTTTCCCCAGTGTGGACTCTCTGATGTGTGATATATGCAGAACTGCAGCTGAAGCCATTTCCACATTCTTTGCACTGATACGGCTTCTCTCCAGTATGGATTCTCTGATGCCTGCTTAGACTCCCATTAACACTGAAGGCTTTCCCACACACCTTACACTGATAGGGCTTCTCCCCACTGTGTATTGTCTGATGTGTAATGTAATGGGAGCTGTAACTGAAGCTTTTCCCACATTCCACACATTTGAAGGGTTTCTCCCCACTATGAAGTCTTTGATGCCAAATTAATTTTGCATTAGCGCTGAAGGCTTTGCCACACTCTTTACACTGATAGGGCTTCTCTCTAGTATAGCTATCTTGATGTTGATTAAGTTGAGCATTATACCTAAAGGTTTCCACTAATTCTTCACATTTAAAAGGTCTTTCCCTGGAATTACTTATTTCATGAGGAATAAGTTTTGTGTCAAAGTTCAAGGCTTTTTCCAAACCTGTACACTCAGGGGGTTGGTCTCCAGCAGAAATGATGGTATGACACTGATTCAAGTTTGGACTAAAGAAACACTCCTCCATGGGGCTTGTGTTGTGTTTCACTGTTCTGTCAATGACATTGCTGTTTTCTTTCTTCATACTTCCTACTGAGTGGATTTCTTGCTGTTGTTCTTCTAGAATACAGGCTTCTGAAAAGTCTGTTTCCTGGGGAAAGTCCCCCTGAAGTACAAATGATGTATTATGTTTTTCTTCACGTGTTTCCTTTGTCATATTATTGTCAGTCTGGATGTCAATATCTACTATAAAAAACAAGAAAACATAAAATGTCATGTAAGAACCATGTTAGAAAAAAAGAACTGTGCTAAAAAGAATAAAGGATCATAGTAATCAAGGGGCTTTTTAAAATCAGCAGACTAGGTAAAAAAATCTAAGGTTCATCCACAATAATATGTAGCTGGTAAGAAAATGAAATAAATCCTTATATGCTGACAGGAAAAGTTGTCCAAAATACAATATTAAGTGGAAAAAGAAGTTGAGAAATGGTATACAAAGATTCCATTTGTGTAAAGGAAAATAAAAAAAGGGCTGACATATACATATATATTTATATATGTCTAAAAAACTTCTGGAAGAATACACAAACTGGCACAGGAAGTTTGGTAGATTTCCCCCCACTTTATATTCTTTCTGCACTGTTTTGAGTATGTGCCAATGTAATAAATTTTAAAGTAATGATTTTAAAAGACTGCCAGTCTCTAAACCAATAACCAATAACATGAAAGTTAAGAGTGACAGCAGTGGAATAAAATTCTAGATCTTATCCACCAAATAAGCATTCTTTCCATCACATCATACTTTACTATACTCTGCAGTTTCTTCTATTATCCTTATGTTGCTGAATCCCTTATTAATAAAAATGGAAGTTGCTTAAGAAGGAATCCAACATGGGGGACAGCAAGTGTTAGCAGCACCAGGAAGCAAAAAGGAAAGAATTGTATTTCTTTCCTTAGAACTTAAACTCTAGGTTTTCCAAAATTTCTCCTTCAACTTCTTTTTTTCTCTACTTCAGAGAGGGTCTGTTTAGGCCCATGTGACCCCTTTTATCCCATCTCTTCCCGCCCCCTCCAGAACACTGCTGTATTTTCCTTGCCTTTCCTTTTACCTATTCCCTCAATCCTAAAACTGGTCATTCCCTAAAATTCTTTCTATAAACTCATTACTCTTTCTATAATCCCTATAGTCCCAATAGAGCCACTGATCTCTGCATTTGTTCCCAAATTTCTCAAAATTGGGGAAAAAATGCTGCCTCTATTTTTGCATCTCTCATCTCTCCCCAGTCACATGTAATATGCTCCCTGCCCCAGTGTATCATAATTGCCCTCAAACACTCAAATGACCTGGCTTTCCCTAGCAAGCATTTCCAAATACTACTGATACTTTCCCAATTATAAAAATAATATCCATCTGTAGTATCAGAAACTTACAAAGAAGAAAATTCAAATGACCTGAAATACAACCACCTAACAATAACTACTACTGATCTGATTTATCTCTTCCCCTATCATTTTCCTTCCAATAATTTTGCTCAAAACATATTTTTTCAAAAACGAAATGTTTTTCTTCACATTAATAATTTTCCCATGTCTTTAGATATTCTGTAAAAATACTTTTTTAAATTGTTAAATAGTACTTCATCCTGCAGAGGTACTTTAATTTTTTTTCCAGTTTTATTGAGAAATAACTGACATACATCACTGTGTAAGTTTAAGGTGTACAGCCAGATGGTTTGATTTACATACATAATGTGAAATAACTACCACCATAGGTCCAGCTAACATCCATCCTCTCATATAGATGCAATTTAAAAAAAGAGAAAAACGAAAAAAATTCTTGTGATGAGAACTCTCAGGATTTACTCTCTTAATAACTTTACTATAAATTATACAGCAGTGTTGGGTATAGTCATCATGTTGTATGTTATGTCCCTAGTACACATTTATCTTATAACTGTTTGTACCTTTTGAGAGGTACCTTAATTTAGTCATTCTCTCTATACTGAAAATTCAGGTTATTTTCAGTATTTTATTATAAAAAAATTATGATGAGTTTTTTATGCATGTGCACCTTTGTCTATATCTGATTACTTTATTAGGATATAGCCCAAAATGGGACTATCCAGTACAAACTTTTAGAAGGCTCTTGATATGTACTGCTAAAGTACTTTCTAGAAAAACTAATAATTCACATTCACCTCCAGAAGTCTATTCCCGTTTTGCTGCACTCTCACCATCAATTCCTATGATTTAATTGTTTTCAATATGATATGTGAAACATCTCTCATTATTTTAATTTGTATTGCATTGGTTTCTACTAAGGGTGAACATTTTTCACACTGATTGAAATACGTGTATGTACTTCTTATGTAAATCAACCGCTTACATTCTTTGCCAATTTTTCTACACTAGTGACCGTCTATTTATCAAATCCTATGGTGTGGCAGATGTTACCGGTTACTTAACCAATATCCATTCTCCCTTTCTTCCTTACTAGCACATCCTCCATTTTTTATGAGGTAGCAATAAAAACTACAGCTAAAAACTGTATTTTCTACCCTCTCTTGCAGTGGAGACGGCCATTTGATACAATCCCAACAAATGAGATTTAAACAGAAATCAGTGGGTGGGGCTTCTGAGAAAGATTTTTTAAAAGAAAGTCAACTCTGCTGCCATGGGCCTTGTACTCTATACTTTCCCCTTCTACCTGCCTAAAACCTATTTGATTCCTCACCCCAGTTAACCTACACACACTGACTAGATTAATGTTTCTATCTTCAGCTAAGGTCATGATGGGTTGTTCAAAAACTTCAGAGACTTCAGGACTATCTACTGCCTACAGAATGAAATCCAGACTCCTTTGATTAAGGATCTCCACAATATCACTTTTCCCCCACTTTATATGCTAAGCACTTTAAACTTTCCATTTCCAAAACATGTCTTTCTTGATTGGTGGTCATCTGGCTGAAAGACCACAAAGAACAAAAACTCACTGAAACCATCTTTTAAAAAAGAAGGATTCATTGAAAGAATGTAAGAGAACCTTATAGACTCCAAAACAAAGTAAAGCTGGGCCTCATAGGAAACGGGAAGTCATCTGGCAGCTACTCTGCTTGAGCCAATGAGACATCACTACTTCAAGTGTGGTCTGAGAACCAGAAGCATTGGCATCACCTGAAAACTTAACAGAAATGCTGGATCTAGGCCCCATAACAGACTGACTGGATAACAATCTGCGTATCTACAAGAGTCCTGGGTAATTCATTTGCACATGGTTTGAGAAGCATTGAACTGAGAGCACTTCCTCCCTTCTGCCTTATTTCCTACAGCTTACTATATGAAGTTGTCACCTCCAAAAAAAAAAAGAAAAACCCAAAATAATAAAAACTAATATATCATTGAACATACACTATAAGCCAAGCACGATACCTGTTATATCATTTAATCTTCAACCCATAAGACTAGCACTATTACCTAGTTTTATTATTATTCCATTTTCAAGGGTGAGAATACTGACTCTTAGAGATGTAAATAATTGACCTGCCCAAAGTCACACAACTAGGAAGTAACACAGTTGGGACTGGACCTCAGAAAGTCTGCTCCAAAACCACACTTTTAACCACCAGGCTATTTTGCCATTCTGTGTAAAAAGACTGTTAATTCTGTATCATCTGCATTAAACGGACAATGCATATAAAAACAGCAAGAACCCCCACAAAATTACTGAATTCTTTCATTCTTTTCTGAGAAAGGTAGAATTCCAAAATTAGGATTGAAAAGACTTAGAATGAGGCATTTGAAAATGATCTGTTCTTGGAATTAGAAAGAAATAGCAAACTGTGAAAATGGTCAGAAAGGTCTCAATTGTACCTATCTCTACAAATCATCAAAATTTATTTTACTTGTACAGCTGGCCAACAGACATGGCATGCTTATATACTGCTGAAGCTGACTTTCTTCCTAAAGAGTTAAACTTTCCATCCAAATGGGCAATATGTGCCTCCCTTACCAGTCCAGAGGCTTGTGCCTGTTCCAGTAGCCAGTAGAGATGGGCCCCCCAGCTCACCTCTTCCCTCTAGTTGTGAGATCACAGCAGGTTTGAGAAGTGAAAATCCTGTTTGCGGGGAAAGGAAATATGAGAAAAGGGTGAATAATCTCCCACAGATGAGTTCCTAAGTCTCTAAGATTGTCTCAGCAATGATGAGGGAAGGTAAGAACCCTACCATGACCATGCATAAGGACTGGGGGTAGGCCCTTGGAAGGTGCATGTGTGTGTTGGGGGGGTGGGGCTTACAAGACGCATGGGGGGTAGGCTTGAGAAGGTGAGACAGAAGTTGGAAAGGGCCCAGATTGTGGGCCCAGGAGACCTCATGCAGAGCAAAAGGGAGATTCTGCCCAAAGGGATACCATTTTTTTATCTTGGCCTGAGATATTCAGAGAACAGTGACATCCTTGGAAAGACCTGAGATGCAAGTATGGTGAGGGGGAGACAGGAAGTTACTTTTATCCACACTGTGTCCAAAACACAGCCAGCCTGCATAGGTTGGATCAAGAGTACCTACTAGTCCCAACAGTCCTA